ATAGCATGCGAAAAAGTTGTGTATCTGCACGGATACGATCAACGACTATAGGCGACTTCGGTACGAGCGCACAAATTCCCAGCTATGAAGCAAGCCTACCCACTCTAGTGCAGAGAGAATAACACCGGAGCTTTGGAGGAGAGGTTTTTACTGCCTCAATAAAAGGCAAGTTGCAGCGGGAGCATCGCCGAATATATATATATATATATATATATAGCGACTTTGGGGAACAACAAATTTGCTAGCACACACAAAGTCCAACTGGCCAATAGTACACAAGCGCGGCCTTTTTGGGATAAGGCGCAACATAGCGGATAAGGTGTGAAATTCAAAAGTTCAAATTTTCAGGAAATAAAATTGACAATAACTCGAAAAGTAAACACCGGTTAGGGGTTGCTATAAACGCAATAGAAGCTTATTCATCGGTGGAGTTGAAAACCATGGTGTTCTAAAAGTAGCAAACAGTTTACGTTTAATTCGCTAAGCTCGAAGTATAAGGTATTACCCCAACGTTTGATACTCGGCAACGAGAACCCAGAGAGAGTCTTATGGCCGAGAATGGGAAAACTTAGTATCTAATACTGAAGAAGCTATTCATGTGATTCCCCCGAATTCACCAATTAAACTACAGTCACGATTATAGGCAATAGCACGCATTCCAAGCCACAAAAACGAAGCAACAAAGTTAAAAGTACATTGTAGAACATCCATAATTTCAACAGGCAAATGACTCGAGTTTATTAAGGCTACCCCTCTCAGTATCCTGACAATGGTCAAACCTACCTGGTATATGGAAAAAAGTGCATACGAAGGGATTGCTTAGTCAATCCTTTACTTACGTGGTATCTATATGGCGCAGATGGATATGTTGCTAGACTTCTTAAATTAGATGACGATTCGGCGGGTTTTACTTAGTCGATTACGTGGTAACATACGGCTGAAATCACTGGTCGATAGATAAATACCAGTTTTATTCTTATGGGGATCACCATGTAAGCACAGTGTATAAGTTTCCCTTCGGTTATCAACTTTTTGTGTTAAGCTGGACTCAAATCAGACTTTCATCCGTGACCTTCTCAAACCAAGCACATTATGAAGGGATCGCCTCATGTTTCATTATGGACGATATTCAAAGTATATTTTTTGTATTTATATATTATATATATATATTACATTTATATTATATTATATGTCATCTGTGTATATTATATATTGTATATAGTATGTATACATATTCATATATTTATATTTGTACACTTATATATTGGCTTAGTGTATTGGCCACCTGGATAATGCCACATCTGCTGCGCTCCAACTGGTAGAAAGTAGCGTTTCCCTGTCGAGAACTTCATCGACCTTGTCGAAAAAAATAATTTAGTCTAGGTAAAAGGTGGGTAGCCTTTGCACGACACGTTTAACTGGAAAATACCGTAAACAAGGGATTCATTCGGACTTGATTAGGATCTTAGTTCTTCAAGTGTCCGGCTCCATGAATATTCACCATGGTTTCACCAGTCCTCGACCGGTTTTCGGTTTTCATGAAGTTGTGCGGCTGTAGTCCCCAATGAGAAACAAACGTGAAGGAATTAAGTATAATTGAATTAAGCCGGTCTGTATATATGAAGCTGGCTTGAATCGCGAGATAAAGCCGACCTGAAAAGACCGTTGTTTAATCGAAAAAAGCCACATCGCAGGCCTTTGAAAGTATCGCTGCTAGCATTGTTATTTTTATTATTAATATAATATTAATTCTAATAACAATACTAATATTATTATTGGGCGCAGCAGCATCAGTGCTGACACTGATGCTTCACTGTTGTAGAGCCATTGAGTTTATTTAGTCATAATTAAAAATCTAAAATAAAAAAGTGGAAAAATAGGTCAAGAAGTGATCTACCATATACGTGAATACTGCCTACACCTCTAAGCCCTTCAACCAAGTACACCTCGCAGTTCACACTATTTTGAAGGAGGCAAGGAGAACATTACTCTCTTCAATAGACTATCCTTCGGCATGCGTAGAACGACAGATGAACTGATCACATCCAATAAGTTGCGCTGGTTGGCCATGTATTCCGTATGCCAGTCGATCAAATTACTCGAAGAATCCGCTTCGCACAACCATTTGAAGGGTGGAAACCGGCAAAAAGGCCAAACAGTGACTTGCTAGTGAAGTTTGAAGACCATTGACAGAAAACTCAGCTGCGCTGGTAATTACTGTCTCCCTGAATTGGTACCAGTCGTGTTTTCAATCGATACTTATAAATTCAAGGCGTTGTTTTCAATGCATGGCTCCCATCCCAATCTACCCAATGAAAAGTCCACTAAAACTCTCTGTATTTGTGCATCACTTTCACCAGCTCCCGCCTCCAATGCGTAGCTATCTACTCCAGGTCCCCAACCAATCGGCAAACGATACTGTGACAGTTAGAATTACTGTACTGCAGCATCATCAACAGCAGCAGTCGATGATGACATTGATGATAACACTTAAAACTGGTTACTTCACTGGAAAATGTCATGGCCGCACATAAACCCCATTTGGTTAGCTGCAGAGAGTCTTCAATATCCCGATATTGGCTACTTAACCGGAGTTTGGCTGTACATTACAACGCAAGCAATAAGGCAAGTCGATGGAAGAAGTGATTGCATAAAAACAAAATGATGCACATCGTTTTAATAAATTGATCATGACCTTAGGGAGTCAACGCACAAATCTAAAACACTAGTTTGTTTGATTCTTGGTGACTGGAAGAAGGTCTCTACTGCTAAACTGATAGTTTGCGGGGAAATCTTTGAAAGTTATCTGCTGTCAGTTGTTTGTTCGCTGAGCTGGGTAATTTGATTACAAACGTTTCATCACCAATCAAGGTGACGTCATCAGTGCGTTATTGAGAATCTTAGTGGTGCCTACCGTAAGTTAGTAGTTGTCTAAAAGACTCGTGAAAGCCAGTAGTGACTCGAAAGATATCAAAATAGCAACACGGTGGATGGAACCGGTAGAATGGGCTCCATCATCTTCAAATGTCCATTCCAATCGTCTAAATAGAAACGGACGAAACAAAGACTATGTGACGCCATTCACTGGTCCTATCTTTCAGTGCCTCTGATGAGGCACAATGATGAAAACTCCAACCGAGAAGGTGAAACACACCCGCGATTCACTGGTTTACCGCAGTCTACTCCAGGAACGTAAAGACTAAAGGTTGGTTTCTAGGTGTATAGCCGTTTACAAAGGTTCTCACAAGAAGTTTGATGTTTTTTTAGTGAAATGTCTCAGGCCTGATATGAAGTCCCGTCAGGTCTTAAATTGCCTATGGCGTTCTCGCACATGGTCAACAGGCCGTAAGACGACAATATGATGATGGTGAGCCATTTCAATCTATCCTATAACTCAATCACTTCTACATAGTGCGGACCAAACGACCTTAAACTACTCGGGTGACTGGCGGAAGTGAACATGATATCACGTGAACAAATCAATGGCATAATTTGACTGCCCACTGTCGGCCTGCTTGACGTCAAGTGCCACGAAACAACCAGAAAATGATGTAAAATTCGCAATGGGTAACAAGACTGTAAAACCTCAGGACAACAGTAGATCAGTGGATGCAGAAACCGTGAACGTCTACCTCGGTACAAATCCAAGTAATATGGCTACTGTATCGGATCAATTTGCCCCATGTTTGCATGCTCGGGCGAGACAAAGGCAAACAACCAAGAGACGTAATAGATATGCACCCCACCCGGCAGTCAGTCAACAAATACAGTCCAATGTATTTCCAGACCCCATCAGAGATAAAGCGTGCTGGAATTACCCAGCGCAGCAACAACTCAACCCCATTGTTCGATGCTCAAATGTTGTCCCACTAACCGCTCGCCAGAACAGAACCCCAACAGTACCGAGGCCCACTCAGAAGGGCACCAATTCGAATGCAAACTTGTGCACAAGCCAGTGCCCCAGAAACCCCACAAATTCATCCGCTAGACGTCATTTGCGTTCAGAGATGGGAACTCACCAAAGTGACGCAAAGCTGTTTCGCTTAACAGGCCTAGATGAAGAACCAATAAGAAAAGTCGAATCCAGCATGGCTTACCTGGGTTCGAGCTGCGACCAGACTACCTCGAATAAAAATTCCTTAGTGTACTCCGACGAAGGTAAAAAATTCGGCACCCCAAACACACCCACAATACTTGCACTGTCTCCAAGTTTAAGGCGACTCACCGAATTACTGGAGGAATTCAGCAGTCTATTTCTTATAATTCCTGATGACTTTCAAGGTCTTGGTGATCAGCTGCTTGACGTCCGGGCAATCACTAGTAGAAGCGTTGGTGAGCTTCAAACCACCGTCGATCTGCTGCAAACAAACTTGGGCGCTGTCTCAAACATTATTCCACTACTGAATCAACACTTGGTTACGGCGCAGGAATTATATCACGCGTTGCACCGGCTTGAGGAGAGGATGTCCACATTTCACAGGCTGATACAACAACTTTCTCAATGGAGCATTCGGCCAAAATCCTTGAAGTCTTCCAAATGACAGACAGACATCATGGAAGAAATATCGATTACACCTGTCCTACAAACTGTGTAGCTACTACTACTACTACCACCAACTAACGAGACAGTAAGGAAAATCTCAGTGAAAGAACATGGAATTATTGCCGTTCTCACAGGAAATCACGATGAAAATTGCATCAGAATTCTTAGAAATGTAGAATCTCTGAACAGAACAATAAAGGAATAACCCGAAGAATATCTCTTATATTTTGCGGTCCAACTGGGAACTCATGCATTTTGTAACATAGTGCACCAGATTGGGCGCTAGGCTACTTTTTCGGTGAATCAGTTTGGTTTATTGTGTGAACCATGGTTTCGATATAGCTTTGGAATAGGATTGCCATCCTCACCACTGCTGAGTTATCGGAAAGTATAAGGCCGCGGTGCCTCCGCCTGAAACCGTAGCGACCTTCCACTAGCACTTATTCATTTTCACACATGGAATCTAACGAGATCAAGCATTCAACAGAGCAAGTATGTAGTTACCAACCGAAACAGCCACTTATTACTTAATTCTCAAGTAATATACGAGGAAAGGTTGAGTTTTCTCCAACAAGATATCAGAGGAGAGCGGTCAGCCATCACCACTATCCGTCAGCCACCACTATGAATACGATGGCCGAGTTTTTCTTTTTCTGGACTTTTGGGACTGTAAATCGGAAAAATCCTACCTTCGGTTATTTCCTATAGCTATTTCAGTTAAATCAATAAAACAAATTTAAACATGGGCACCCAGGGTATTTTTGGTGGGGCAGAAATAAGATCCTTCGTTTTTCATCACTCCCCTTAGTATATGGCTTCACACAAAAGATTTAAGATGGTTCGACTGGTTTGAAACACCTGTGTTCTCACACTTTATGTACTGTTCACTATGAACACTAGTCCTCAGCCTGATATAAGTGCAAAAATATCCGTCATCTCAGAAACGCATGAAAGCCGCGTTCCGGCCTGAAGCGGCGGTGACTGTTTGCCTCAATCCTTAGAGTACTTCTCGCGCAACAGAAAATTTTTAAGGGATTCAACACTGGGTGGACAACTCAATTTCTTCCCCTTGTTTTTGTCTCACTTTTAAGCTACTCACGAGTAGTATAAAATAGAAAGCCAAGTAAATCTTAACCCCTGGTAGGATGGATAAAATGTGTGACATATGTGAAATAAATGGTACTACGTATTCGGCCAGCCGTCTAGATGGAACAGATCAATTAGCCTGTGTTTTCAAATCTGTTTTTCTAGGTTCCCTAAAACAACCTATTGCTGAAGGCTCAACCACTTACTAGCCTGAACACAAGGATTCAGGCAAGTCTGTTTATTGTTAGTAATGTTCCAAACAGATGCGATCGTTCTACTAGGCACGCCCTGCACAACTAGTCGAATCGGATATACTGTCAAGTACGAAATCGCCCACTGTTAACTTTGACTGAGATACATTTCTCGGGTTGCCTGTGGTCGAACCTCGTACAGTTTCGACCAAAATGTTTGCCTTTTTCTAAATAGTATTATTAGATCAATTTTCATGCATTGTATTGATAAAATGTCGCTACCAGATTCCCTATGGGAGGACGGTCTTTGCGCGTTACAAAGTGATGAGATGAGATAATCAGGACATAAATCCATTCACATAAATCATAATCAACTTCCTGAAATGAAAAAAAACAGGGGGCCGACAAAACTCATTCGATTGAAGACCACTCTGATGTTAACAGGTGACCCGAATGAATCTGCTGCTTATGAAATTTTCCAACTGAATATGCTGCACAAAGACCGCCTCATTTTTCAGGTGGCACGATATCCGGAACATCAAAGTTTATTGTCTTGACACACCACTAAAAATAGATTAGTGCAACGAAGTAAGAAATTCGAATTCATTAATTATGCAAAAGGTAAAAGGGTCCACAACCTATTTTGACATTTGAGCACTGAAAACTTTCTGTGCAGTCTACGTAACGTGTTCGTGATCAAAATAAGCATTTATTATGCTCATAATATGGCTATCGGGACAACCCGCAAGCCCTCTCAAGGATGGTATACAGTGTGGCTCGCTAATACAGCGGCTTCATCGGGCTACAAGAATACCGAGGTGAGCGAAAAATTCATTACTGGCTCACCTCCTTATCAGTGTCTTCAGGTAAGAAAATTGGGGGTTTGCCGCAAACTTTACACGGCACTTTGAGATAGAGGTTTCCGAAAGCTGCAAACAAACAGATGAGAAATGACGTATATGTAAAATAGATTCTCCAATTTTTAAAAAGCGTGGGACGTCTGTAGTATGTACTTCATTGTGCTGCATGTTTGAAGAGCAAATCCCATTGGCCGACAAGAATGCACATGGAGTGCGGGGTCAGTTTAGGTCAAAATCACACATTAGCGAACCATGAATGAAGAGATAACAATGAAAGTGCAATGTGAGAGGTTCGGATTACTTGGTTTGCTGCCGACACGGTGTGGAGTAAGGCAACCGACAACCATCAAAATCAGAATGGGGAATCTTCGATTATCCAGGATATTCTCCAATATCAGCTTAGCCAGGAACAGAAATCACAGTCGAATCTTTCAACGAAACATTTACTGGTAATCTTCAGTCGTTCTGCTACGGGGAGCATGTGAGACAAAAGATACCACGCCGTGACAGTGCCTTGCTCAGTATACTTAATTAACGAGATAAGAGTTTCTCTACTGGACGAATGCTTACCGGAATAACTTGCAAAACAAGCTTGCAAAAAGCGAATAAAAACATGCGGAATGAAGCACACAGCCAAAAATTTTATTCGACCGCTTATATAGACAGGTATCTGTAACGCGCTACGCGGTATGGGATGATTAAAGGAAAAATGCATAGAAGCTAGCCCCGGAAGGCAAATGAAGGATGATGCTACATAATTATGAACAAGCTCAATTTTGCATGTATTTGGGACTAGTTTAGTGGGGGATTTCATTCGGTTATCAAATTTACGTTACCTTCAAGGGATTCTTCCCCAAGGAAGCAAAAACCAAAACAAGTTCAACAAATTATGAACTTGGACAGGTGTATTCAAAGTAAGGATATTCTGAGTCGAAACAAAGCATAGAAAACCGAAGAAAACGGTTAGCCCTCACAACTTTTTGTACACCCTCTCAAGCAGAAAATGCCAGAATGCCCCAAACGTCAGGCCAACTCAACCTTGAAACTTTGCACTTGGCTGAAAGGCGAAAAGATTTAGATAGCCTTTTGAATCTCAAGTCAAAACCGCTTCAGTTGGCGGGTGTAAGGCCTAATAAAGTAGGTTGAACTCGAAGAAGTGTATGTCAAAGGCATACAGCCGATCGAAGCCATTCTCTCCTTTTGAAGCTCGTCAGGTGGACCGAGAGGAATCAGATAGGCAGCCTCGAGCTTCTGACCACATGATAACCGGCCAACTAGTTGACTGGATTTGTTAGGAAACGCTGATTATGCGCCCTGGTCTGGAATCTGAATCAAAATTGAGACCCAGATATCCCATGCATCTTGTTATCCTAGTTGTCCTCCAATTGTGAATTTAAAAGCTACTCGAAGTGTACAGACAAACCAAATAGACCCGAGAATGATCGCTTCAACTTGTTCCTACTGGGAACCAGCCACCGGTAGCAGTGACAGTAATTATACATTTATATATTCCATCAATGTCGACGACACAGCACAATGGTAGTTTGTAAACTTGCGTATTTCTTACAAAGTAATGCAAGTACCTAAATAGAACGCGGTAATAACTGGTGGTTGACTGCTGCCGGTTGAGCCCCCCCCTGATTTTCGATTACAAAGCGGAATCTACAACAAGATCTGAATAAGCATTTGTTGAAATCACTTGACATCATTACTTGTTTCTTTGCGGAAAGGATGCTAATGACTGTTCCATATATCAAATAAAAGATCCAAAGTGAAAGTGAATGACCAACTGAATGGTTGAGTGATGTAATGAATGAACGAATGGCTGAATGGATAGATGAGTGAGTTCAGTAATTAACGAATGCATAGCAAAAAGAATAGCTAAACAAGTAAACTAGAGATCAGTAAGCTGACAGTACTTATTGAGGTAATGGTCCCACCACATTTGCGCTTATCCGTGACCTTCAGATACATTGTAGTAAATGATATCCGAAATGGTGGGGGCTCTTAGACCCATAAAAGCAATAAGGGAGGGGGAACATGTGGAATGTGACCACAGTCAATAATTTGTACATTCAGGTACCAATTAATGACAGAAATCTCCGCTAAGGCTATTGGGTCTCCCACTGGTGACTTGTGTGATTATTGGAGTGTTTTTTTTACTAATAATCGATCTCTGTGCTGTAATCTTGAATCCAATAATTCTTTCGCGATGAGACTGACTTAGGTGTTTTCCTAAGATGGAGAGGGATTTTTGGACAAACGGAAGATACTTTTTCTGGGTAAAAATACATGCTCATAAAACTCTCTTCTGTCATGGTAGTTAGGTCGAACAAATTGTCAAAACACCAACTAGTTTTGTAACCACTAGTGGATAGACCAAAAGCTGTTCACGCCTCCACTATCGTGCTGAATGTCTGCTACACAGAGCAATATCTAGATAGTCAGCTGGAACGAGGTGAAACCTGCAACAAGTACAACCAACTGGCTAGCTCACTTATCGATTTTTATGCCTGTGACGTTTGAATGTCACGCAGCACAACTTAGCTGAACATGTCAAAGGAGCCTAACTCTCTACCGTCATCCGATCAAACTTCCATTCAGCCCTCTATAACTTCGAGTGGTCATGCAGACAATGCAAGTTCCAGTATGGTTGGAGATTCTCAATCCGTGTGTTCCCTGAATGATATTCCGGGTTCAAAATACAAGTTCTATTACAACCGTTTGTACAAATGTCTATGCTTTTTGGAGGCAGAGAACCTCAAAATACTCGAAGCAATTCAACGAAAAGTTCGTCTGAACGGAGAACCAAAACGACTGGAAGAATTGTTAGATGATTTTGCATTTCAGGTGGCAGGCAAAAAAGATGCATACGAAAAAACTTTAACCTCTCAAGCTACTATTGATGGACAGCAAGCTTTTATGGGGAGAAGATGGAAGTCCCGATATCTCAAACTACTAGAGTTGGTTTTGCTTCTAGAAGCTAGAGGTAAACGGGGCATAACCAATGAAGGAAGTCAGGCCGGACTTGGCCCTAAAGCGGATTCATTTGGCCACGCCCTAGAGACTGAGTTTTTTAATGATGTGCTTACAACGCCCTGGGATCCCGAACATAGGCAAGAAGCAGCAATTAAAGACGCAGTCAACGACGTGGCTCTGAATAATGATTCTCCAAAAGGCCGCCGTCGAGCATCAACATATGAATTTGATGATCTCGCAATATCTATATCTAGCGTGTACATTCAGGACTTGCTTGCGCACCACAACCTCTATGCTGAAGAGATAAAACACCAAAATGAAATGAAATGCCGTTTATCACATTTGCTTCACAAAACTAAAGAACAACGAAACCAGCTGAAAAAGTATGTATCGGAACAGGAGAGTAGGATACAGGCTATTGAAAAGAATATCCAAGAGACAGAAGAAGCTATTTTGCAGAAAAAAGCACCTCGAGCAACATCCGCCAACAGCCAAGATGAGAACGATGTAGTCGGTCGACAGAGTGTGGGACAGTTGCAAACCAGGATCAGTACACCCGTACTGGAAGTTCATGAAGCCGCCAAACAGATGCAGTTGACCAAAACTCATGAGATGAATAAACTACAATCAGAGATCAAACTACTGGAATGTCACAAACGCGACTTGGAAGGTATGTTGCGAGAGGAAGAACAGCAGCGTCGACTGCTGTCTAAACGTCTCCATGATATCATTGGCTCCATTCGTGTGAGTTGCCGAATCAAACCACATCCAGAAAACTACTTACAAGTTATTTCGGACGATAAACTATTGTTTCCAAAATCACTGCCGAGTTCAAGTGACGCGGATCAAGACACAGCTAGACCCGCCATCCGCCTGGACACGGATCAGCTGCGTTGTTTTATTTTCGAAAATGTGGTAGGACCAGGCTCGGGGCACCATGAAATATTCCGCAAAGTCAGCCAATCTCTTACACGTTGTCTGGATGGGTGTAATCTTTGTGTGATGACATATGGACCTCGGAAAAGTGGAAAAACGTTCACAATGTTTGGAGGACTGAGTGCGAGAAAGATTACAAACAACCGAGCGGAAATTGCCAAAGGTATTGCCCAGGACACCGTACATCTGTTGTTATCACTGGTCAATCAAAGAACTGAGTGGAAGTATAGTGTCTATCTCAGAGCGATGGCTGTGGACGACGAACGTCTGGTGGATTTACTAAAAGAAGAGAAACATTGTTTCACGACGACTCACGCACTGGCGATAAGAGATGACTCAATATGCATGAACATTAAGGCAGTTGAAATCTCCTCAGCTTTAGAATTTGATCGGTATATAAACCTCGTTCGTGAATCAGAACGGGCAAATCAGAATATGCACCTAATTTTGAAACTTGTGATTGTAGGAGGATCTAAGCATACAAAGGAGAAAAGTAGTTATTCAACCATCATACTCGCTGATTTGGCAAGCTGGGAGAAACGTTGCAACACAGAGGAATCTGAGATGCTTGCCGTGCAAAACACACCTACAGGATCAGAGGCGAATTCTCCCAATATTGCATCTATTCCAGCTAACAGGAACACTCCAAATACGATAAGGAACAGCACTGGCGTGAACCAGTCCTTACTTAATTTGTCACGTGTTTTTACAGCACTTCGGAAGCGCAAACTTCCAGCCTTCAAAGATGCATTGCTCACACAGATATTGAAACCGGTTCTCACAGGGGGTTCACAATTTTTCCTCATTGTCACAATCAACTCAGACCCGAAGGAGTTCACATCCACACTTGCCAGTCTGCAGTTTGCACAGAATGTAATGCAAGCAACAACCAAGTTAGGTTCAGATCAACGGAACAAACGCTCCTGTTCACAACAGGCCGATCTAAATGTAAACAACGCTAAAGATCAAGCGTAGTCACGTTAAGGGGAAGAGAACATCTTGCTACAGGCTTAACTGGATTACGAGTGGCAAGGTAAACCGTTGAAATCTGATCAAAATGGAAGCTTGAAAGTGCGAGGATACATCATGGTTTTGGGACACACTGGCAAATATAGGAAACAAAGGAAGCTGAGTTCTAATGCTCCAAAAATCTCTGAAACATTTATTGACAGCAGTTTATTCTTGATTACTCAACCTACCACTAGAATTTGATGTGGTGTGATGTTTGAAGTTTGAGAACTGGTTGTTTGGTGGATGTTTACCATTGATTTTCTAGGCATGCAAACATACAAACTTCCTTTGGGTGACAACACTGCATTCAAAAGGTTAGAATAAGTACACCTTCGAATTGCAGATATTCTCATGTTCCCAAAACATACAAATTCCTTTGGGTGACAACACTGCATTCAAAAGGTTAGAATAAGTACACCTTCGAATTGCAGATATTCTCATGTTCCCAAGAAGATATCACGAATCTTAAATTTCTCACTATGATCTATACCATCCAGTGTCATCGTGAATGACTTCGTAAGGTTTTTTGTTCTCGTCACCATCTGTTCAGCCAGCGTTGCATATCATGCAGTTATCAATGTTGTGAACAGCAGAGCATTAAATACATCAAAATTCATCCATTTACCTCGATCCCCTACACTACTGACAGAACAGCAGCAGTAGTTCTGTCATGAAAACGGTATTTTGCGATTTTGAGTCGCAGTTGCTCATCCAAAACAGTATGTTTAGGACATCAGTAAATAACATTCTGTGGCGGAAACTTGGAACGAAAATAAATTGTTCACCAGGTCTACCCTAGTTGGCACATCCATGCACTGTTAACTGCTTCGAGGTTGCGATCCATTGTAGTACTCCAGTTTCAGGCAACCACGTTCATAGATGAAGGAGATGACCCATTTGTTAGTGTGCGACCAGTTATATAAAATTTCTCTTCAGGAAGTTTCTGGTTTATCTGGGTTCATTCGATATGTCCAGTCAGATTTCAGTGGCAAATGGATCATCACATGGTCGAACGATTTTTTGAAACCATCCCATGGGTATGTTTGAGTCACAATACAGTTCTGAAAAACCGACAGAATTTCTAGCTATAAGCGGACTATGCAACTGAATCCTACATAATTACCCAAGTCTGTTTACTTCTCACAAGAGGTAACCTCTCAGATAGCACGACTTTGGTGCATTTTTTAGAACAACAATTAGAATAATTAATCAGAAACAGATGGATGTTTACAAAAGCATACCCTGGAGCTCAGCGTTACTTCAATAAGGACCCGTTCTGTGAAAAATGAGATCCTCCGGACTCCATTACTTATCCATGGGAAAAGAGGTTGGAGACTTTTGAATGCGCCAGTTCCCAATTCACTTTACCAGGGTAGTTAGCTTCTGGAGGTTGTTCTTTCTAAGACAACCATAGCTGAAGTTGTCAAAGTGGGTCTCATCTGCACAGTGCATACGTGGACCAGAGTTGGCAACTCACAAAGACTGGCTAATCAACAGGATGTGGGTAAAAGCTGCCGTGCGCCACCACCGCGTACGTAGATGTCACAGCGATCGGGTTCTTGATTATATGTAGGAAATGGAGAGTTCTGTGGATAGACAATACTCGGGTCGACATGATGCTTGGAATGAGCATCGAACACCTGAGGTTAGCCATAAACGAGACATCATGTTTGTAGACCCTGGATGCACGTATTACGGGTATTATAGATCACAGTAGCTATTGAAGTTTAGAAGCCTCGTCATAGACTGCGCAACAGTTCAACTAATTGCCAAATAAGGAAGTCAATTAACTAGGCTTAGTAGCTTCTCAGTTGCGTTGTTGCGGTCCTATTGGATGCATTAGTTCTAGTTAACAACCAATTGGCAAGTCCGTTACTTCGGAATCTTGGAAGTTAGAACCAGTGCTGTAGCAGTATTAACAACTGTCATCTTCCGCAATCAACCAATCGGGACTTGCATTTTCGGACAGTCAAAATGTTGGCTAATCCACTCATTTTAGTCGTTGGTCTTTCGAATATCAGTAACCACCACCGTATGCTATTACAAACAACCTTCAAGCTCCAATCAAACCTGTTCAACGCCATACAGAAAGCTGAAATGGAGTTTTATTCCGAATTTCGATCATTTGTGGCTTTCCGCATTCGAGTGCCAAACCCCATGAGTCAACTGAAGTTTTAAAAGCAAACACCACCAACAGAGAGATCACCTTCTGTCAGTTCCTGATGCTCACGGCAGTGTATTTTTGCATTTTATACTCACACATCTGTCAGGTACTCTGTCGGGACAACTGCAGATAATCGAAATGTTAAACGCGCCTTCTGGTGACCGTGGTCGTTTTCTAACGGTTGCTCTTAAAATTTACAAACTCAATTTTCGCTTCCAGTAAACGGTTGTCCAATCTGAATATAATGCGCCAATGACACAAAATTGGCGCTACAATATCTAAAGATGGTGACGAAAAGCGAACGGTGAATTCGGTAAACGTCAAAACATACCGGGCTATATTATCTAACTGGCCAGAGCAATTGCTACTAAGTTGTTGCTTTACAGTATATTAGTCCAGCAGCCCATAGCTGAGGATTTAATTTATCTATGACGAAAATAGTTACAAGATGTTGTTCCCCCCATCACCCACTGTGCTCAACGACGCAGCTTGTTCGCTATTCATCGAACCCTAGACGACTGACTGGTCGCCGCCTGTCACAGGTAAGCGCACAGATTGCACTTAGGCTCCGTAGTTGCTACCGCAGATGATTGAGTATACTTGTAGAATAACAAAAACCGTGAGCATGGAGAGGTTGACTGATACCTGAAAAAAATTGGAGTAGAAAGATTGGCGCTGCCAGTCTTCACGCAGTTTCGACCACAGTCGACCCCCAGTAGGAAACTGCTTTTATTCCGGGGCACAGTGCTTGTCATGGTCAGTTGTTTGTGGACCAGCAAACGTTCGGTAAAAAGCTGATGCATTTGTGCCTGCGAATCAGATTATTGAAAGTAACTTCCGCATTGAATTTCTGTTTACGCAATTGAAAGCCACGTCTCTATCAATCGGACTAGAGACAGATTGTTTGCACCGTGTTCCGAATAAGGAACCTGATATTGGTGCCCGCAAAACGCATAATCAGGTAAAAACTGTGAGGCATGCTTTCGCTAATGACGATACGGATAAAGTATACTAGTTTTGCGTCCATGTGCGCAAACAATATGCTTTTTAGAGCTGATGAGTAGATGGGAACTTAAAAGCGCCACACTTGTTTCGATGAGTTTTGATATGAACAAAGGCACTTTGGAGGGCTTTGTGGTGGAAGTCCGGTCACTCTGTAGTCTGAGAAAAACAAGCAAGGTTGATTGAACTTAATCGCCATTGTGTAGGCAATTCAGTTTAACAAAAGTGATGGAATGATTTGCTGTGCTCATGCGGAATATCTGACGGCTAATTAGGTCACTCCGATTTCTCATAGACTAGTAGAATAGCTTGACGGGCCGATGTAAGAGGCAGCTGGTGAAAATTTAGTTTAAAATTTTAAACTTTGAAATTGTGTTGTAGGAAAAATCCAGAAGAGTCAAGCCTCTAAGGAGTTCTTACATTTCAACTAGATATGGCACTTGAGCGATATCTGGGCCAAATACTGTTTACAAATAGGGTGGATCAGCCGTCTGCCCGATCACCTCGGGTACTATGAACTCTAAATCACGGAGATTGCGTCGTGATTTTCGCAACAGTTGGGAATGCCGGGGCCGTGCTGAGCCGCCAAGACAATCGATACACAAAGATTACCTGTCTGTGGGCATTTCATTTGGTCAGTAGACGCTTGGATACCACACGGGAACCGAAGAGTGCACCTGTCTGTGGGCTGTTGAAAAGGTGACCACGCACTTCATTTGGTCAGTAGAGGCTTGGATACCACACGGGAACCGAAGAGTGGATCAACCACCACCTGATCAACAGCCAATAAACGCACCTGAGCTGTCAATCGTCACTGTCCACCTGGGTGATTTCTATCAGAAGGGGCAGGCAGAGTAACCAGGTGTTCCCAAGCAGGGCATTCTGGATGTGAGAAGTGGAGTTTCATATGCTTCCTGTGTCTGGTTGATAAATGTTTCCCTCGCGGAAGACGGAAATAAAGTCAAATTTGGCTTGTGCAGTATTATCTAGATAGCCCCAACATAAACGCCTGCGGATTTGACAAGTTCAAGAGTGACACTTGCCTCAATACACGTTGCGGGCTTCTGCATTGCCTGACAGGGCTTTCTGCGCTAACCTCTTACCCAAAGACAATCCAGGCTTTTGGGCTTTTTGAGTCAGAAGCCCTTTAATCAAGTAAAAGTGCGTTCAGCGCAGGTAATTGGAGCTGGATAGTGCTGCGATGGGATTCCTTTTGAAACAAACCTTTTGGGGCTCTCAAAAACAGTGATTTTTAACCAAGAGGGACCGTAGTTTCCGTGCCCATATATTAGACCTGATGCATGCAACACAGTATTCAGTGTTCGTTTAAGTTGTTACTTATCCACGAAATTCCTACCGAATATCGCAGGAAACAAACTCTGCGACCTCACTACAGGTATCCGGAGATAGATGCAGGTGTGGAGTATGCTCTGACCAACAACGATCTATCAGTCTGGCAGTGACGGACGTGAAACTTCAGTTGCCATTTTGATGGATGAAAGCGAATGGGGTTCGCACTGGCCATCACAGTCTTTCTTCACATGCGGATGGTTAATTGCTGCGGTAGTAGATACCGTTGTACTATTGGTTACCGGTAGTTAAATTCCAAAGTGCAATAATCGCAGTTACAAATACCAAGCCATGAGATTTACGAACCTGGATACTTTGTGACCACTAATCGGTCGAAGCTCGCCAGCAAAACTCGAACGCATTAAGCTTTTAAACCAAAAATGATAGCCACTGAGAACTGTCATAACAGTGACTTTTTAAGTACATACCTTGGATCTCGCTCGTAAGGTTCAATCAAAGAAAGCGTACAGTGCCGCATGCCACTAGTTACTTGGCCTATTCTCCCACGTCTGCTGGTATGCAGCCTTCTCCCAGGTTTACGTTACCCTGAATTTGGCATAACAGATTTTAGTGATGACTCAGTTTGTGCAGTACAAGAGGTCGGAGTGGAAAGGTCGTGCCTCATTATTCTAGGAGCCCCATTGGTGTCGAATTGTTTGTCTTTTAATGTATTTGGCTGAACTTTGTTTCTTCTGACCTAGTTCTTTCGATAAGCGCTGTTTTTTGGCTGGGCTTTTAGTCAAGGGCTTTAGATTGAGGAGATTAATCTTACACTTGTCTAGTTGTTTGCGCCCACCACCAATTTACACAACCACTGTTTATTTCATGTCACACCGCTCGCTGCGTGGTTCAGTCAACCTGGTCGTTCTACCCGCTGCATACAACAGAGAAAAAAAGAAAATATCCTTTTTCTGGCGTCTTTTTTCTTCACACAATTTCCCCCTCCTCATCCAATTATTGCTAGTCTCTTAGTTGGTACCTCCGTTTGAGATACCAATGTCGCTCGTCTCGTGGCACTCTCAGTTGCGCATCCTGTACCTTAGTCGAGAGGTTCAGGTTTTCTGGACCCATTCAATAAACCACGGCCTCTGGATAATCTGGGCGTCTTCGCACTCCAAGGTGGGCTAGATGGTAGGCCAGTACTGCTCGTGCGCTGGACTCGGTTGATGCCGCTGCTTGTCGTGTATCAAAAATAAAAATTCAGTCTATAAATTACCAGCATAGTCACTGCCTTTCTGTCCTTCGCTGAGCCCTCCCAGCAGCATGGACTAATACAGATCCTAGGAGAGGTGGCTTCACTTACAACGACAAGGTTAACAACGCCAGCATAGTCACTGCCTTTCTATCCTTCGCTGAGCCCTCCCAGCAGCATGCACTAATACAGATCCTAGGAGAGGCGGCTTCACTTACAACGACAAGGTTAACAACACTTGCCGCTTTCCGACTTGCAATGGTCTTTAAAGCAGCAGACAAAAAGCTGGAGTTCGGTTCGCACCTTGGGCTACCTATGGCTGGTTAGCACCATATCCTCTCTCTCCTCAATTTTGTTTCGCTTTTACGGAGCACTCATTGAAATTGTGGTTGTATTGCAAACGGCATTAAGTAGTTGCCAGCAATGCGCTGCCGTAGGGACACTTGCTCCTCTTCAACCCATACAGGCTCAAAGGCGCGCAATATTTCACAGTAATCTTTGTCAACACCTTCTTTGGTTTATCCCTTTGCGCAGTCAGCTGCAACTGCTTCAAACAATACGACCACCCGAACAGCCGCACACGAAGCAAAATCGTGCGGCGGTAATGCAATACCGAATCTGTTGTTTACTGAAACTTTCCGCACTCCGTTGGGACACTCCAAACCACTCTTGTATTTCTCGTTCGACAGCCCTTCTGTGAAGGCGAACAAACTCTCAGTGGTATTATTTCACTCACCTTGACCCACTGGATTCGTGCCTCTATTCCAGGTTTCTCGGCGGCCTCATGCAAATTTGACAGGTTCAGTTCTCCAGTAAACTGATGTTATGACGTGCTCGTACGATATTCCCCTCAGCTACAATAAATCTACCGGTCGCCCTTATTTCCCTGGGTGCCGTCGGGTTAGTTTGCTGTTTTTTGTACCCTATGTTTCTATTTTTCAACCTTTCTTCACTAACCCTGTGGGCAGCCAATATCAAGTGGCTGATACAACTCAGATTTTGCAAAGATTATAACCGTCATTCTGAAACTCCCAGGCTCCATGACTATCACGCCCTATTTCTGCACACTTCGTTGTTTTGGTGCCCAGGTCCTGCCAAGACACAGTACTGTACCGCTCTATCGCCATGTTTTTAGGATTTTCCACAGCCAGCACTGGCACATCCACATTATAAGGACGGAGTCAACAAAATGCTGACATGGCACCACATGCTTGGAATACTGCATATTATCACATCGCAAATCTATCTTCCTGCAACCTGTGTTGCATACTGTCCGTAGATTGCACACTTTGACGCGCATTTACCTCCACGCCTCTCGTAGACCATCGACCAGTTTTGGAGTAAAACCTTTATTGTCCCTCTTACGAATGAGTGTGGAAATGACGTGCGTGACGCTCAACAAAGTCGCCACAGTCTGTACTAATGGAAGCTGTTCTAAAGCACCAGCCACACTGTCAGATGTGATTTTTGTATTCAAATTTTCACAAGTCCTCTGACACCCGTCTCTCATAACTGACGATATCCACTGGCTATAATTCCAAAGCCAGATAACGCCCAAAAACATCCAGACGTGAGGGACGTCTTAACTATATATGATTGAATATACACGAGTTTTTGAATAATTTCCGTTGCAGGAGTGTTGTTAAACAATCTGCCAGCCAAGGAAACCAAGAACACTGTTGCAAACAATAGACACTGTTTCTGTGTATTTACATGAAGTATGCTATTGAATAGATGTGGCTTTCTTGTTCACAAAATTTCCTGCAAACCGTAATCCTAAAGTCCAAATTCTCATTACAGCAAAGGCTAACCTGATACCTCCGCGGTGTTTAAATCCATCTAAGGAGTTATTTTTGTTGGAAAAGTCACGACTGTTTTATTATTCTGGTAGAAGGGATGGCCAAATAAGTTAGGCACAGTCCGCTTTATATAACACTGGTGGCAATGTGTTAAGTCCAGTGGCTTAGTGATTCATGGAGGAGTCACGTGTGTACGTCTCCAGAAACAACTGAAGCTCCATGCTCAATTCCCAATGTCCTGGAAGGGTGGGAATTTGGACCGCTATAGGCAGCTAGATACATTATTGCCTGGAGCGAACGTCAAAGTGGTCTGAGCACCTCCGTTTGCTAGAGCTCAGTGGATTATTTTTTCTCATGACGCTTATGCCTCTGTTGCCTCAGACCGCTATACTAGGTACATTATTGCCTGGAGCGAACGTCAAAGTGGTCTGAGCACCTCCGTTTGCTAGAGCTCAGTGGATTATTTTTTCTCATGACGCTTATGCCTCTGTTGCCTCAGTAGACCAGAACGATTCATGGTGATTCCGTGACCGCCTTCCCTCGTTTCTTCTCGAGTGTTCCAACTGACAGTGCTGCATTGATGTGGGTTTTCTTTGCGGCAAGCTAAGTGATAGATTAGTGATCTTGAGGGGGCACAAAAGAGTGACAGGGCGTTACAAATAAGTTCTACACACGCCGTAGTGTTCTCCAAGGAAAAAAACCGCGGCTTTTTTGATTGTTGAATATGCCTGCAGAAGGGGGGAAAGTCAACGAAATCTGCGCAAACGAAATTGGCAGTCGCCGAAGCTTCATTCGTAAAGTATTGTTGGGCGAGTGTCTGAGTCCTAGGCTAGGACACAACTGAATGACCTCCAAAAACTCAGGGAACACCTCACTTGGCCCCATCTTCCGCAATTCCACACGTCCCCACTACATCAGACTACCCGTGTGGGACCAATTTTGTCAACATCATAGTAGGTTTGTCACGGTTGCGCAATAACTAGGGTCTACTGGCTAACAGTGGATACTACTGATTAGCACGCGAGTAGTATATTTTCTCGTAAATCCGCTCCGTGTCTGTTGAAAAGTGTGATTTATTACGAAATTTGTGGAATTGCTTTGTAGTATAAGTTTACATTTGAGTAATAGTCAATGAATATCCCGAAAAGCTCAGAAAGACGTGTTCGAGAAGAAGGCGGATATTCAGTTTTTATAAACAAAATGCTTATGGCAATTGACTTGTAATCGTTTTGTCACTATTTGATGCGACATCTTCAGTGAGCTGTTATGTAGGGTGGGTAGTCCCTCTCTTTGTGCTTGCGCAAAGGCCTTCGCCCTTCCACTGGTGCCGACGCACTTGACGTCATTAGTAATCAATGGGAAACAATTCCTGGGCCATTACAGACTTGAATCAAATTACCCGAACCAGTTCGCTTGTCAAAAGTAGCCTCAATTAGTCAACCATCACTTGGCTGCGCTGTGGGCCGGGTTTCTTCTGAAAGCCGGTGTTTAGTCCTTAAATCTGGTCATCCGAATGGGCGGGCTGTCGAGTCTCATAGACAGTAAACCTGACGGATTTATCTATCAAACCGTATGGGGGAATGACAAGTTTGAGGTAGCTATATCGCCACAAACAAAAGGTGGTTGGTAAAAACCGAGGTTACATTCGCAGCACCCAAACAATATTAATTCGTAATTGATCAGGTGACGGTTGATCTGTTCGTCGAGTATGGCAATTGACTTGTAATCGATTTGTCACTATTTGATGCGACATCTTCAGTGAGCTGTTATGTAGGGTGGGTAGTCCCTCTCTTTGTGCTTGCTGCGTCGACGACCTTCCAGATGCTCCTGCAGGTCCATGTCTACTTGTTGCGGACGACTTGAAATACTGGAGTTCCAATGCCAGTGCCCTCCAAATGGATATAGACGCTGCAAAGTGGTGGTCGTGGGACTGGCACCTTCCTCTGAATGACGAAAAGCGCGTCCATATGTCGTTTGGAGAAGACTCAGCGAATGCTTGCTGAGGAAGGACCAGAAAAGATCATGCGGATAGACGCCAAAAAGGATTAGGGTATCTATATCTCCTCAAACTTGACCTTCTCACTGCACCATGCGAAATCGCTCCAAAAGGCATTCGTCATTTTACGGATGATCCGACGCACCCTCTCCCGTATTACTCGCATGGGCTTCCAGTTATTCTACGTGGCCCACCTCAGACCGCTCCTGGAATACGCCAAACAAGTTGTCCACTCAGGGCGCACGAAATACCTCACCTTCATTGAGCGTTTCCAGCGAGCCGCTACGAGAATGGTTGCTGGCCTCAAACCCGTGGACTACGAAGCTCGTCTCGCGATGCTTGATCTCTTCCCCCTGGAGTACCGTCGCCTCCGAGGGGACCTAATTCTTACCTATGCCCTGTTTGGACAAAGCTTGGCGAACAGGTGTTTTTGCCGTTGACCCAGCAAACACACGGTGTGGACATAGCGAGAAAACTTTCAATCTCAGAGC